CTTTACCTCCCCACCACCTCATTCCCCTGCCCCATGCTCCCAGGGGGAAGCTCAGTTCCGTCTGTGGGCAACGTGTGGGGTGAGTGTGGCTGTGGCATCAGCACCCCACGTGCAGGCTCCAGCCCCACGCAGCTGAGACCACCCTGAGACCACCCTCCCCAGGAGCCGCAGAGCACGGAAACGCAGCTCCCCTGCCTGCAGCACAGGGGACTAAACTGGAGACCTACTGGGCAGTGGCCAGCCCCAGCTCCCAGCCCGTGGCCCTGCCAAGGAAAGCTTTCCTCTGTTGTGCTGGACGTGAGGCGGCGTATCCCACCCTGCCCTGGGCCAGGGACACACCAGGGACATAAAGCCTGGCTGGCACTGCCACCTAACTAAGCCCTGCTACTGCTCCAGTCAGAGAGCAAAGGCCTTGGGAACAACAAACACAGGTTTCACTAACCACTAGATCTCTTCTCCAAAGAGAAGAGCGATACGAACACACTGCCTGGGACAGCAAGGACAGTCAAGAGTCAGCAGGGAGAGAGCACGTGAGGCCCACGAGTCACAGAGCCCAGGCCAAGGCCATGCCCCCAGTGCAGGCCCAGTCCCCCCAGCCTGGCCATCCCTCCAGCTCGGCTGCGGTCCCTCATCCAGCGAGGGGGGGGGCCCTGGGGAAGGCGGGTGCCGTCGCTGGAGCCGTTCACTGCATCTCATGCCGACCGCCCAGGGGCTCCGCTGGCTCATCCGGACTGTCCGAGTGGGTGTCGTCCACGCCGAAGTCACTCCAGTATGGGAAGGACTCCAGGCAGCTCGGACCCTGCAGGCTTCCCAGGCCGGCACAGCTGGAAAAAAGAGAGGGGTCAGAGAGGAGAAGGGATGGGGGGAAGGTACAGACATCCACGTGTCTCCGCATCAAACCACCGCCGCCTCGGCGCAACCGCTTCTGCGCTTCTCCTCGGCACAGCCCCCCACTCCCAGCCAGCTCAGCCCCGCAGGCAAGCCCAGAGCAGAAAAGGGGACAGGGGGGACACTGCCACCAGCGAGAGGCAGACGGTGCTGGCAGCCGGGAGCCACACTGCCTGGGTACCTACCCGTGAGCCTGGGCTGCTGCGCTCCCGCAAAGCCCTTCCTTAAACCAGAAGGGCTCTATTTAAAAACAGGTTTCTCGCTGGAGTCCAGACACCTCTTTCTTCCTGCTATTTGAAAAGCAAGATGAAGAAACATGGGCGCTGGGTGGGTACAGGAGGCCAGACACGGCCTCTTAGCAGGTAAAGATCTTGTATTTGAGGACCCAGAGCACCTCTGCCAGGCTGCCAGGAGCACAGGCAGGGAGCCCACGCCTGCTGCAGGACTCAAACACGCAGGTGATGTCTGTGCTTGGTCAGCTTCTTGCAGGGAGCTGCAGCAGGGGCAGACTGAGGATGGCCTCCTCCTCCTCTCCCACCTGGCCAGCTGCCTCCCCAGGTGCAAAAAAAAAACCCAACCCTGGCCTGGTTGCAGGGGCAGAGGGAAGCCGCCCCCTGGGGAGATGCCCGATTAATTCCCCAGCATGCAGCAAGCACTCTGAAGCTCTGCGTGAGGAATTGCAGAACAAACTCAGGCTGCAAGGACAAAGGCAAGAGGCGCAGAAAGCCTGAGCTTTGAAAGCCTCCAAAGGCTCCTCACTCCCCAGAGATTAAGGGAGGAAAGCAGCCCAAGACCTTTGTAAATCTCAACTTGAGTTCTTCTGAGAGACTCAAGCTCTTTTCTGCTAAGCCTCAGCCACAGCCAGGCCAGGTCACCCTCCTGGGCAGCACAGGAGAGCGCTGGTGACAGCTCAGGATGTCCAGCTCCGATCACTTGACCCCCAGGAATCCTGCCCTTTGGGTGTGCGGGGCTGGGGAACACGCGCTCCGCATCGTTCCCTCAAACAACTGCAGCAAGGGTGGCAGAGGGAAATCCAGACCCATTCAGGGATCTCTAGAAAGCCTGGCAGCTCCTCTTATTTCACAGCAGAGGCTGTTTGCAACTGCTGAAAGTCCCTCGCCCAGGCACCAACCGTTTCAAATCAGGTTGTAGCCAGACCCACAGCTGCAAGCACTGGCAAGGGGAAGTGCAGACAGAGAGCCAGCGGCCTCAGAATGCTGCTGGGAGCCAAGGCCTGCTCCAGGCACAGCGAGGGTGGCACCCCCAGGCGGGTCCTTCCCTGCCTGCATTACCTGCCGTGCAGGTCCCCTCCCGGCAGCAGCGCGGGGCGGGTCTCTTCCTCCTGCACCCAGCCGCAGTTGGACATGGCGTAGTGCAGGATGGCTTCTGTCACCGTCTGCGAGCCCTGGCCTTGCACACACGCCTCTATCTCAGGGACCGAGAGCTGGCTCTGCAGGAAAAGGTGCAGGCGGCTGTCGGAGAGGAGGACCACGTTCTGCACGACCCTGCGCACAGAGAGAGGAGGGTGAGCGAGGCAGGAGCCTGCTGAGCCCTGCCCCGCCGACAACTCGCGTGTCCCACGTCACCAGGGTGAGCATCGGCAGCTCTAGTGCCACCTCAGAGCCAGCACCTTCTAGGCAAGGCCAGAGCAGTGCGTCCTCCCCCTCCATCCCTTTACTCACTTCTCCAGGAACTGCTGCAGCCCCTGTCTCCGTTTCTCGATGAACTCATCCGTGCTGCCCACAAAGAAGGTGGATTTCCCGGGCAGCTCTGGGACAGGCCTGCAGGCACAGAGCAGGTTCAGGGTCAGATCACTCCAGCATCAGAACAAGGAGACACGGGGGCAGAGCTGGAGCCCAGGAGCTCAGGTATCCCCTGTTCATGTCTGGGGTTTCTACCCACGTCTGTTCTGAGCGCACATGGGTCTCACAGGGCAACGGGAAACCGCATCTGGCTGCAGGAGGGGGAAAGGAGGGAGAACAGGCACGCTTACACCAAGCCAGCATTCTTCTGGAGCTGCCTCCTCAGCCACACGAATTCACGGTACCGGCGCCGCACACATGAGGTCTTGGCAGTAAAGGCTTTGCTGTTGGTCTGCAAAAATAAAAAACCCACCACGGAAATAATCCACATGCTTGAGAGGCAGCAAAGCAGAGGAGGGCAGGATCTCGCCTGCACGGACCCCTGAGCTCAGTGACTAAGGGATCCCCTCGAAGCACTGGGCTTTGGGGAGCGCTGAGGGTGATGAAAGAGCCTAGAAAAGTGCCTGGAAAACCTGAGCAGGCCCCAGGGGAGAAGCCGGGTCTCAGACCCACATGGAGACAGTGCAGAAGGAGGGATGGGCTGCTGGGGGTTCCCCCTTCGAGGTTCCTTCCATCCTCACACAGCACCCCCAGACACGGCTGGACAACTCCACTCCTGAGCCTCGCCTGTGGCCCGACCCAGCTCTGCAGCTCACCCCTCTCCCCCAGTCACGACTCACATGGAGGAAGATTTTATAATCCACATAGGAGTTCCAGGAGCCTTCGTTCTGCACCCGGGGGTCCTGAACACGCACCGTGGTCAGCTCCTACGGCACAAACACTGCCTGAGCGCAGGGAGGCAGCGCTCACCGCCCCGCGCCAGCGTCACCCCCTTCGCAGGGCTCAGAGGGGCCTCCTGGGGACCCACGACCACCCCGGCCTGGTCATCCTGCCCCAGGGGCAACACAGACACCTCCAGGTTTTCCTCTACCCATCACCCGCTGCCCCTCAGCTCTGCCCCACGGACCCTGCCTGGCGTTCAGCACCTCCCACCCCCTCGAGCTCCGGCACTGCCAAACCCACAACAGACAAAACCCACGTCAGAAAAGTTCTTACTTCCTCTCGGTTCTCCAACATCCTAGAGCCAGAGCCCAGCAGGAAACATCTGTACAGATAAAAAGGGGATTTAGTAAGACAAGATCAACACAATGGGGTCTTTCATGCAGTCTGCATGCCCCCAGGCATCTCACATCTCTGTCCCATCCTGCAGACACCTCTCCAGCCCCCACCCTGATCCTCTCCCCTCAGTCAACACAAAATAAAGAGGGTGCTGGCAAATCCAGCAGCACACAGGGAAAGAGCATCCAGCATTAATCTCCTGTGGGCTCCTGAGGCAACGTGGCCCGTTGGGCTCTTGCTGGGGCATGCTGGAGTGCGCCATGACCTGAGTCAGAGCCTGCAGCACCTCTTTCCTCCACGGCTCGCCTTCAGGTCACCCCTGCCCACAGACTGGAATCCTGCAGCCTCCTGGGACGGCACTCAGAAATCTCCAGACTGCAGAGGTGAGCAGGGCTCCCGGCTCAGACAGGTTGTAATCACCCAAGGATGGGATGTGGCAACCGGCTGCTCCAGCTGAGCTGCCTGCTCTCCTCTCCCACAGCACGTCCTCGCTCCCGGGCAGATAACGGGGTTTCTGGGAGAGCCAGACACAGCTCCGGGAGAGCTTTTCCCCCACTGTAACTCCCATTAGCCAGGAACAGCCTCCTTGTTGCACAGCACCGAGACCCCAGTTTGCTCCTGCAGAGCCAGAATTGGCAACGCAGGAGGGAGACAGGGTGGAAGAGCCCAGCCCACTCCCCCCACGGGCAGGTTTGCACTGAAATGCCAGAGGAGCCAGTTCAGCTGGGGAGGAGAAACCCCTGGTTTTTATCAGTTTCCTTCTCCTAGTTGTCCCTCTCCCCTCGCTGCCTTGGCCGTATGAGCAGGGGAAGCAGCCAGCCCACACCAGGCGCCTGCTGCTCCTCGCCAGAGGAAACCTGCTTTTCTCCGCGTAGATCAGACCCATTCCCCAGTGCCACCTCAGTAAGGCTCCCAGCAGCACCCGACACAGAGAGGCTGTTTCTCTCCAGCTCTTTCACAATCCACCTGAATCAGCAAAAAACCCAGTACCAGATTTCCCCATCCGGCTAGGTTTTGTGTCTGCATGGTGACTGTTCTCCCTTGTGTCCCTCCCTAAACCCTCCTTCCTCTCCTCCCAGTGAGTTGGGGTGTTGATGAGCCCCTGGGGAGCCGCAGAGGTGCCTGGTGCCCCCCCATGCTGCCCAGCTTTCCTGGCTCAGCTGCACCATGAGCTGGGAACGTTCCCGTCACACCAGCCGCTTCCTCAGCCACATCCCTCCGGCACTCCCAGGTCCTGCTGGACCGTGTCAACTAATTTGCTCCACCATTATGTTGCTCCTGCAGTAATTCCTGTTCTGCAGCAACACCACGAACACAGTGCCAGGACTTGGGGGGGGAAGGGGATAGCGAGATAAACCCACCCCCCCCCCGCACCCAATAAACGCACAGTCCAAGCCAGTGAAGCCCCTCTGAGAGAGAGTCCCCCCTCCCAGACACGCTGTGCGCACACAAACCAGGAATACTCGTCAGGGGGAGCTGGAAGACCAAGCGTGTCCCGTGTCCCGGTTTCACCTCCTCTGCGGGATTGTTTGCAAGAGATTTTGGAACCCCCCCGGGATGAACTGGCAGCGCAGGACTTTGCCTGTCACAGCCCAGGCTCCGGAGGGACGCGGCTGCCTGATCGCAGAGGCGAAGCAACCCTTCACCTGTTCCCCATTCCTGGAGTCTTGCCTTTTAGGCCATGAGAGCTGCCAAGTGTCAGGCAGCGCTGCAAAGCCAGCCTTTATTTATAGGCTCAGATGTGAAGCAAAGCTCTTCTGAAGACGGAGCTAATTTTAGCTGGGACAAGGGGAGGGGTGGAGCCACAAACCAGGCTTTAAAAATCTGGCTCCACCAGTTTGCAGGTACTTTCCGCAAGACTTCAGCCATCCGATTCCAGCCAGAGAGTACAGAAAGCATTAGTACCAGCGGAGATGGGTTTTGGGATAAACACCCAGACCCAGGCCCACTCTTGAGAGTAACTGAACTCTTGCTGGAGTTGGGTCAGGCTGCTGCTGTTTCCAATTTGAGCTGTAAGGGGGAGGGCGAGGGGAACCTACGGAAAAAAAAAAAAAAACAACCCAAAACAACCCCACGCTTCAGCACACATGATTCTTCCCCTGAGGAAGGAGAGGAGCGAAGGAGCCAAATGTGACATAAGTCACTTTGCTCAGCGCAGTAATGGGGGAGCTCCAATCCTCCCCCGTGCTGGGGGCTCCCAGCCAGAACCAGTTCAGCAGCAGAACTTGACCATTATGTTCCCCGGCCTCCCCAGGGGACACTGCCGCTGTCCCGTTGCTTTTAAAGCTTCTTGCTCTGCATAACAGCCCTGCCTAGATTAAAAATGCAGGAGGGAGAAGAGAGAGACTCAGAAATTGCCTAATGGAACAGCGGAGGGTTGCCAGGAAGAAGAATTTAATTTCCCAGCTACTGAAAGGGTGCTCCAAAGAGCAGAGAGACCCCAGGGGGGAGATGGCTTTCTGCAGTCAGCGAGGCTGCGGGCAAAACTGAGATCAGAGAGTCCAAGCGCTCACGTCTTTTAACTCCACTTTCATCCAGAGTTGTACCAAGAAACACATAATCTTATTTAGGCTACATTTGGACTTAATTGATCTTAACTTGATAAATCAACTTAGACCCAACGGAGAAGATAGCTCCGAGTGCGCTTTAAACAGTTACACCAAATCCTCTTTCAGGGCTTCTGCTTAAAGCTTCGGTTTAAGAGGCCCTGGGATATGCGGTTTGGGTTCGGTTTAATCTTCCTCCAGTTTGCATTTCAGCGCTTCCAGGGCTCACACGTTCAACGTTTTTTAGCTAGAAGGACGTGAGCAGTGGAAGCCACACAGAAACACCCCACACCCTCACTCCTGGAGCCTCAGGACCTCCACCCGCCCAGGATACAGCAGTTTGGGTGTTTAACGAGCCACAGGCACGCTCTGGCTCCAGGTGGATCGCCCTCCCCAGCTGTACTCACACTGCAGACAGCGAAAGTTTTTATCTCTTGCTTGCAATCTCTTATCTTTGCTGACCCTGACACATCCATAATAGCAGCCTCTACCCCTCTCCAACAGCAAGGGCTTACAGCAAATATTCTTTCTTAACCAGCACACACCAGGGGTGGTTTAGTCCCGCTCGGAGCTCCCCTCCCCAGCTCCGTTCCCTGCCCAGCTCCAGCCTGGCCGAGGCTTCACGTCCACCCGCACAAACACTGCTCCGCTCCAGGGCCACTTGCAGCCATGCAAATCTCCGAGTTTTGAGGAAAGCCTCACAGAGGAGCAGAAAAAAAAGGGAATGTCCCGTTTGTTTCTGCTTTTGCTTGTCACGCCCGGGCAGAGCTGTCCACAACCGATACCCGAGAGGATTTTCTGAGGTTTTTTGCCCATTTGGGAAGGAAAGGGCTCCTCATCCAGAGAGGTGACCCAGATCGGGACCGCTGTGGTCCACCGCTGCCCGCTGGAAGGGGACGTCCCCAGGCAGCCCAACGCCACAGCACATCAACACAAGGGCCGGACACTTGACCGCATTAACGTCAACCCACCCGGGCGGCAGCGGCCCGGCCAAGCC